AATCCAAAAGGCATTCTTCAAAAAGCAAAAGTTCCAAAAGGACTAGTAAATGTTGTCTTTTCTTGATCCTCAAGAGCAATAGGAATTTGATGGTAACTGGTATATCCATCTAAAAAATAAAAAATATTTGTGCCCAACAAGTCTATCTACTATCTGATCTAAAAAGGGTAAAGGGAAGTGATCTTTCATGGTGGCAATATTTAATTTTCTGTAATCAATGTAAATACGCCACCAAGTAACTTATCTGATAGGTATTAATTCATTATTTTAATTCATTATTATTAATTCATTATTTTCTTATGTTTCAACAGTCACTCCTCCTTTCTTAGGAACACAATGAATTGGACTTACCCACGCACTATTTGAAATAGGACATATAATTCTAATGTCTAATCATTTCAAAATTTCAAAATAAAATTTCTTTCTTAACTACTTCTTTCATCATCGGATTTAATCTCCTTTGTAGATCAACTCTTGGTTTATATTGTTCATCTATTATAATTCTATGCATACAGATTGAAGGACTCGTTCCCTTAGTATCAGCTAGGGCCCAACCAAAAGCTTTTTTATATCTTTTCAATGTATCTAACAGTCTTTGTTCTTGCAAATCATTTAATTCTGAAGATATAATAACCTATAATGTGGATGAGTCTCCTAAAAATACATACTTCAAGTGGCTAGGCAGTATTTTTTACTCAAGTTCATGTGGTTTTTTTTATAATTGATGGAAATAGATTCTTATCAGCATTTTCCATAATATCCAACATCTCAAATCTTTCCTAAACATAATCTAATTCTTAATTTTCTAATTCATCTAGAATAAGTTGGTCACTCTCTTCAAATCGTTCTTTCTCTTCAAAATGTTCTTTAAAATGTTCTACTTCTTCCAAATGCTTTTTATCTTCAAAATGTTCGTTAAAATGTTCGTTCAGCAGATGTTCAATAATTTCCATGTGAAAAAATTCATTATCTCTTTCAACAGTAGGGTATTTCATAGATTTTGCAATGTTAAAAGTCACTTCCTGATCATTAACTCTCATAGTTAATTCTTCTTTTTGAACATCTATCATATCTTTTCCAGTAGCTAGAAATGGTCTCCCTAAAATAATTGATATTTCTTTATCTTCCTCCATATCTAAAATAATGAAATCCACAAGAAAGATAAATTTATCCACTTTTACTAAGACATCTTCTATAACTCCTTATGATATGTAACTGAACGATCTGCTAATTGTAGAGTTTCTACGCGCACACACGCACGCACGTATTGGTTACTAAACATGAAATAAAGGAAGCAAAATGTTATCATTTGACATTAATATCTTCTCATTGTGTAAGGTCCTTAGGCTTTGGGTTAATTTAATTCAGCAGATTTATAAATTTGATGTTACTTATCCCAATTCTTTTCTATTCACGTTCTGCTGCTAAAGTTCTTGGGTATGTAATTTTGATCTATATGTTTTTGTTTCCTGTTTATCAGGTAGAAGTTAAGAGAGCTAGATCAAGATCAGAAGAACGGAGGCGTTATCAATCAGCTTATCATCAAAGTTCAGTGCAAAGTACTAACAACATGAATAACAACAACAGTAGCATTACTTCCAGAAAGATTTTTGTAGGTGGATTGCCATCTAATATTACTGAAGATGAGTTTAGGAGTTACTTTGAGAAATTTGGATCCGTGAATGATGTTGTTATCATGAATGACAGTGAAACACAGCGGCCAAGAGGCTTTGGCTTTATAACCTTTGCTTCAGAATCAGCAGCACAGAATGCGACACAGAAGAGGTTCCATGAGCTGAACAAAAAAACTGTAGAGGTTAAAATAGCTGTTCCCAAGGATATTAACCACACTTGCAGCAGTAATTATAACAACACGAATGATAATTCTTATCAGAATTATCTTCCTTGGGGGTATCCACCTTATGGTCCGGAATATGGGTATTATCATGGTTATGAATCACAATTCCTTCCTGGTTTTGGATTTGGTCCAGTTGGCTATGATGGAGGATATACATATGACGGCTATAGTGCAATTGGTTATGGCGCTCTGTATTCATGTCCAATGCTCGCATGGAATGGACCTGCCCTGATGACTGTAAAACAGGTTTTGGTTCCTTATGGTGATGCTTCTTTCTACCCTGGATATGTAAATGCATGGTCTGATGGTTATATGAGGATGGCTGATGGAGGACATAATGGCGCTCAGTGGCTTGGAAAGTTGAATCATACTGGCACCCTTCTGCATACGATAGACCTTGCAGATACAATATCTTTGGGGCTTCAGAATGTCAGGATTAATGGTGCTGAATAATCTTTTAGATGTTCAGCTCTACGCCATTTCGATTCGCTTTGTAGTTAATGCTATACTTCTCTCTTTAAATCTCTTTCAAGCTTCATATATTGACTCTTTATCAATCTGACAAAATGATGTTATTTCAATTCTAAGTTTAGCAGTTTTGGATAGAGGGAAATATTTGGATAGAAATTTCTGTGAAAGTTCTCCCCAAGTTCTAATAGATCCAGGTGCTAACGAATTTAACCACTTCTTAGCCTTAAAAAGGAAAAAGTCTAAGTCTAACATCATCGTTTGAAACTCTGTCATTTTTAAAAGTAGCATACAGTTCTAAAAAACTAGCGAGGTGTAAATTAGGATCTTCATTTGGTGTACCTCCAAATTGATTGTTTTGTACCATTTGGATAATATCAGGTTTAAGTTCAAATGAATTAGCAGCTACATCAGGATTTTGGATAGATAAGTGAATTTCATCTGCTGTAGGATTTGCATAATCTCGTAAGGGTCTAGGTTGGTGTTCATTATCTATTCCTTGATTGATCAGATTATTTTCCATTGTATTTTTCCATTGTATCAGAATTGATCAGAATTGCTAGGTTCTCTTCTTAATCTTCTAATCCTTCTAACTGTGCATTCTAATTCTGAATCGTATGGTATAAGATTTTCAGGTCCAAATTTACGCATACAATTTAAAATCAGTAGTCAGTAATACAATTATCTAAATAGAAGAATAAGTTGCAATTCAAGTAAAAATTTTCTAATAATCCTAATTTGTCCGTTACTCTAATCATGATTTGACTCACTCGCTCAATCACTCCCCAACAACGACGCCAAAAACTTTGACTATAGATTTGATAAAAATGTATATATAAAATATTCAATAATGGTAAAGTCACACTTATCAACCCAGGTATACGTATCGCTCAAGTAATATAGAACTCTAATGGAGTCTTAGATATCGATCCCACAAGGAGTGGTTTAGAACTGCGAAATAAGTTTTTAGAAAAGCAATACTTTAATCACAAAAATTTAGAAAAGCAAGACTTTAATCACAACTTATCTGTTCAATTTGCTTATCTGTCACTAATAGGCAATTAAAATAAGTATGTAATTTTAATAACTATTAAATAACTAACGATACTAATGAGTGTTTAATTGTGATTTTCAATATATAATAAAGCAACATTTTCCTTATTAAGAAACTATAGTGAACAGATAAAGTGAATTAGTTCAATTTAGATTGTGCTAAATAGGAGCATACCTATTCTTTACCCTTTGGTCCAGACATAAAGAACATTGACTAATCCCAGGCTTGTTTACTGAATCTGTGGCTAGGCTGGGAGGATACCGGCTCTCACTTCGGAGCTCCCACGTTCCCCTCATCTAAGGGCTAACATCTGCACTTCAGCACCCAAACGATAGGACCGAATTGGGGATTTTAGTCTATCACTCTAAAATCTCCAATTCTACGCCCGTTTATTTATTTGCACCTAACTTCCAAGGGCTTTGACCTCCCTGAATCTTGGATGTAATCTTCACTTTAGTTGTAAAACTCAACATATTTTAACAAATTAATTGGCTAGATTGAAAGTAAATCAAGATCGAAGAGAAAAGATCATCACAATTTTTTAAATATTTTCTTGCTTCACCAATTCAAATCACCATTTCACAAATCTCGAGACAAAAAGAAAAACAGAGAAAACTACTCAAATCTCATGGGGAAAACACAACAAAACTTGAAATTCATATATAAAATCAAAGTCATACAAACTACAACAAGTAAATAACTTATCTCTAATTTTTCCCCAAGAACATTCCTCAAAGTTCATCTTAATCTCTTCCTTTCTTTACAGCACACACAATTCCTCTATGAAGTAGCAAGGAGGAAGAAATTTCTTACTTTCCCTCCACTCTTACAATCTCTCGAAGAATTTCTCACAATATTGGAATCTTTCTAATCTCTAGGAACTCTCTCTAGCACTTCCTTTTCTCTTTAGATTCTCCCCCCTTTTAATTTTCGGCCAAAATAGTCTATTAAAGTTATGGATGAGCTTTCCTAAGAGTTGCTTAAGCATCCCTTCAAAATTTGGCCTTATCCAAAGCTTGAGTAGGCATAACTGTCAAGCTCGCCGTCGGCGGCCTCGAGAGCGCCGTCGACGGACTTCTGAAGAAGTTTGTCCTGTAGCTCGTTAAAAACTCGTCGTCGGTAGGGTCGAGGACGCCGTCGGCGGCCTAGTTCAAATCTTCACATTTTGGTCCTTTTCACTCCAAATTTGCTCTTTTTTGCATCTTTTTGCTTTAATGACCCTAATTCATCATTCCTGCAATAAAACATCAAAAATACCTTTTTTTAAAGTGCAATATCATTAAAAGCAGTATAAAATAAGTATGAAAATCTCAACATATTTTTCTTGGGTCAACTAGTCCTTCAGAACCTGAATTATACATACACTATTACAAAACAACATAAAATAAAACACATAAAACAAAAACTTTATATAAAAACAATAATAAAATTTTCCTATAATAAATCTTAAAGTTTAAATAAGAATTTCTAGAAATTAAAATTTTGCTTTCTTAAATTTTCTTTAAATTTTATTTTTCAATACAAAACAGTTCAATTTCAATCCTTGGCAACGACACCAAGAACTTGATCCCGACTGTCTATATGCAACAGTATTACAATGTATGTCATTATACTTTTAACTTTTATTTCCTACTTTGCAACGACACCAAAAGCTTGACTCGAAAGAAAGTAAGATTTCTGCTTTTATATTTATACGTTTGGATATTACTCAAGTGTATGTATCGTTATTAAGTAATATAGGACTTTTAATTAAACCTCAAATATCGAACCCACAGGGTCTGATTAGAGTCATAACAAACCTCTCTTTTAAAAAGACACTTACTCAAGCTATAGATATTATCATAGGAATGAAAGTTAGTTTTTTTTTGGATGTTTTTGATAATTGAAAACAAAATAACAATGAACAAAATATAACTTGAATTTTTGTAAGATAAAAGCACTAAATATAAAATATTATTTCCCTTATCATGAATCAGTAACAAGTATAGGAATTTTGTAGTGGAAGTATTTAAATTGTGCTTTGTCAAACTAGAACAATATTATTCTTTACCCTTACTAGAGATGTTATAAATTATATTGGCTAATTTAACGTTAGAATAGTTTTGAGAACCAGAATTGGCTAATTTAACGTTAGAATAGTTTTGAGAACCAGATAGGTAGGGAAGACACTAGCTCTCACTCTAGAGTTCCCTCTTCTCCCTCCACTTGGGGACTAACATCTTGTATTAAAACTTAATACAATAAACCAAGTTGGGGGCTTTAGTATGTCACTCTAAACTTCTCTAACTCAACACCCTTCAAATTTTATTTTGCTATTTATTTGCACTCAATCATATGAAATACATTCTCATGTTATTCTTACCAATTATTGATTGAGACAATACCATCACAAATCTTACATGTTCTCACAACAAATTTTAACAACTTAGTGGGCCAAATCAAGAAGTAAATGAAGTACATGAATTTAAATTATCACAAATTATTTCAACATTAAAGATCAATACTTTCCGAAACTTTAACCACTTATCATTTTAAGGAAAAAGATAAAGAAAACTACTCAAAATTCATGGAGAAATCAGAAGCACAATCTTGTTTAAAAGTAGAAATCATTGTCAAACCAACATGAACTCTAAATTAAAACCAAATAAAGTACCAAAAGATAGAAACTTAAATCAAATCCTCTACCAAACTCTTGAACTTCCTTTGAATCTCTAATTCCCTTACAATACTCTTAACTCTCAAAATAAAAACTAAAAGAGAAATAAAGGGTAAAGTAATTGTTGGTGTCTCCAGGAGTCTCCTAAAACGCGAGGAAGAGACTAGAAGAAAAAGCCCTTAATCCACTCCAACTTTCTCTTTTTGTAGTTTTCCAAGAGGTGCCTTGGTATCTCTTCAGAAATTGTCCATATTCATTGAATTTCTCTGAGAGATGTCGCCTTTCAAAATTCCTTTAAATATATTTTCATCCCCAGTGGTTATAACCTTATAACCATCTTTTTTTGCCAATAGGTGCCTCAAAAACCTCTTCAAAATTTGTCAAAATTCATTAAATGCAATGTCCTTGGCTATTAGGCTCAGCCTTCTCTTTATTGCTAAGGTGTAAGCGCCAGCTCTGGGTGCTTAGGCGCCACAGCTCTTTTGCACCTTTTATTCATTTTTTGCTCCAAATTTGATCTATTTTCACTCCTTTCACCATTATTCATCTTTTTTATTGTACCTAAAAAAAGAACACTCAAACATATTCCATTAAAGCGTAATATCTCAAAAATAGGTATAATCTCAAAAATAGGTAGGTATAAAAATGTTTACATAAATACTATATATTTTAGGTGTATCACCAATCCAACATCTGATCCAGAAAGGGTAAGGTAAAGTGACCCTTCGTAGTGGCCAGATTCAATTTCCTATAGTCAATACAAATTTGCTACACAGTGGCATGTCTTGTAAGAATTAGTTCATTATATTCATTCACAAATACTTTCACTCCAAACTTTTTAAGAGCACAGTAAATAGGGCTAACCAAGCAATATCTGACACATGATAAATAATACCTGCATCTAGCCACTTCAATATTTACTTTTTGACAACATCTTTCTTAATTGGATTTAGTCTTTTTTGTGGATCTGTCGAGATTTATGATTATCTTCCATGAGGGTCCTACGCATACAAATAGAGGGACTAATTCCGTTAATATCTGCTAAGGTTCATTCGAAAGCTTTCTAACAATTCTTCAAATTTTCTATTAATTTTTGTTCTTGTGAATGAGTTAAATTTGACGATATAATAATCGATAATGTTGGTGACTTCCTCAAAAAAACATACTTGAGATATGTGGGAAGCACCTTCATCTTAAGTTTAGGTGGTTCCTTACAGAATGAGTAAGAAGTTTATTATTTGTTGTTGTATCTAAGATCTCAACCCTCTCCTGAACATATTTTAATTTAACTATAGCCGATAAAGCTTATTCATCTTAAGAGTTAGAAA